ATATATATATACAGTGAAAGAAAGAAAGTCACTTTCAGCTTTTCCCCTTTAGGGGTCGCCACAGTGAATCGTCACACTGACGACTCGCATGTTGACATTTGGCACGTGTTTTACGCCAGATGCAACCCTGATTCGAACCCAGGGCGGAGCAGCGAGAGCGCTGCGCCTTTACCGCTAGCCTACCAGGGATAATTTTTTAAACCTTGATCAAACAGGGCCATTTGAGCTGTGGTTATACTTTTAATGTGAAACATCTGAGCAGGAAGTGTGGGGTTTCACTGTAACTTCACAGCAATTTAAAAAAACAGCAAAGTGCAGGTCACATAAAAACTAAAACTGTGGCAAAATAGCAAAAGCAGTGGGCCACATTCACCAACCGCTATTACGAACAAGTTTGTTCATAAAACCCACTTTCAAAGTTTTCACCAAGATTCTGGCACTGACCAGTGTTTTCTTATCTGGGACTTGTTCTTAGGTAAGAACAGAAGAGCACATTGACACACATTTGGCCGCTGATGTGCGTGTGAAATAACTGGCTATTTAGTTTTCTTCAGTTCTACAGTTGTATAATATTATAATAGCAGTTTTGTCATTATATTACAAACTGGACTTTTAAACTGAATAAACACCACACTAAAAATTACAAGCAATTAATTGCTTGTTTATAAATCAAGATTTTAATATTAATGTAATTTTTACAATGATTATTTGTAGCTTAGAGTTAAGAAATGCTTTAAACATGTTTTAATACTCTTTATTTCTAATTTCTGTTCATTTCTGTTCAAGTGTCTCTTGGATATGCTTTGTCTGTGGAAGTGTTTGTGTTATGGTTTCACGTCACTCTGCTTCCCGGATTTATGTTTCTATTTATTTGTTCTCTCCCCGCAACTCTGTCGCTGTCATCAGGCACCATGTCATTCACCTGCTACTCAATTCCTCCTGGTTCTATTCCCCGCTGTTTCGTCACAATTAGCCATCATTTCAACCACCTGCTCTCGTTGAGCAGGCAACCTAAACATAAAGCCCGTGTTCATGGCTTTATGTTTAGATTGCCTGCTCGTCTTCTACTGCTGGGTTGCCTGCTCGTCTGCTATTGCTAGGTTACCTACTCGACGGCTAGTGTTTCCTTGCCCAACCGTACTGTCTCAGCTATCCTCCCTCCTGGTCCTCTCTGGTCTCCTGCTCATCCCTCCTGGTCCTCTCTGGTCTCCTGCTTGTCCCTCCTGGTTTCTCCCTGGGTCTCCTCGTGGTTCCTCCCTGGTCATCTCCTCGTCTCCTCATCTCCTCGTGGTTCCTCCCTGGGTTCCTGCTCGTCTCCTCATCCCCCCTGGGTTCCTCCTGCACTCCCTGCCTACCTGGAGCCTGTTCGTCTTCCTGCCACCCAGCGTTACCTGTGTTTTTGTTCATTAAACTACTTTCTTTAGCTCCAACTCCTCCTGGTCTCTGTCTGCATCTGGGGTCCACACTACACTCACACATAACAGTTTGGTTGTCCAGCACCTCAGCTGAGACCAGACTCAGGCTAGTTGAAGGGACCTGGGAGCACATATGGAGCTCTGCTCAGCACACCCAAGACATAACTCATCGCTTCGCCCAGAAAATTGTTACAATAACTATCCATCCATCCATCCATTTTCTTCCGCTTATCCGGGACTGGGTCGCGGGGGCAGCAGTCTAAGCAAAGATGCCCAGACTTCCCTCTCTCCAGACACTTCCTCCAGCTCCTCCGGGGGAATGCTGAGGTGTTCCCAGGCCAGCTAAGAGACATAGTCCCTCCAGCGTGTCCTGGGTCTTCCCCGGGGCCTCCTCCCGGTGGGACATGCCCGGAACACCTCCCTAGGAAGGCG